CACTCAGGGACTTCTATGATGTGCTGACTCTGGTAATTTACATCTAATAGCATCTCAGCCCTTTACTTTCAAGTCGTTTGTTGCAGTTTGTGTGCATGCGTTTTTCAAATGATCTGTGTTTCCCACTACAACTAAATCTTATGAGGACATAGAACATAGCTGTTTTGCTCAGCACTCTATCTTTAGTACAATACCTGGGCACAGCAGGCATCCCATAAATACATGCTTATTCAATAAATGAATGAATGATTGAATGAATGATTCAAGATGCAGTGTTAGATTCTCAGATGGAGGGCAAGGTTCCACTTTTTCCCCGAGCTGGGGTGATAAAAGGCCCAGTGTCAGGAGACCCACATCCTACACAGTGTCGGAAATGGGAAGCAAATCTAGCCCTGAGCAAGACTGGGATGACTTTCCCTGACATTTTCTGGGTGAGTCTTTTTGCAGGAGTGAGCAGGGAGTGGAAGAAAGACAGGGCTTTGTAACAGAAGTACAATACCCAGGTTTTGACAAGGTGGCTCTGGAGTTTTGGAGCACATTTGGAGGAGAGCAGATGGGGACTGGGGAGGAAGAAGGCCGGACATGTCCTAGCTGCAGTCAGTGGAACAGGTATGTGCCTGTCCTGATGGACCGGGTTTCAACCCTTGGCTCTATCATCTACTTACTGTGTGATCTGAGGCAAGAAGACTAACCTCTCTGAGCTCCTGCATATTCATCTTTAGAGAGGGAGTAATTACTCTCCCTTGTCAGGGTAGCTGTGAGGATTAATGAGATCATGTCTGTGAAGAGCCTAGAAGAACGTCTGGCACATAGTACCTGCTTCATAAAAATATGACCTCATGAAGCTGTAAACATCTTGCAGGCAGAGGCCAGGTAGCACATAGTAGTTGCGTTAGGAAGTCTTTATTAATGATTTCATAAATGGCCGAATGTATTTTCCTTCAGAAGGACTTTCCTTTTCCTCTGTATAAAAATTTCTTCCTCATTCAGACTAATTGCTTTCCTTGCGGACACCTCAAATCCCCATGTTTCAAAACCTCAGAGCTGAAGGGTTAGTGTGTGTGTGTTTGTGGGTGTGGCTCTGCCCTGAGTCATCTCTGAGACCCTCACCCTCCCCTCTGCAGGAATTCATCAGTTCCAATCTGAATGAGAGGACTAGAGAAACAAATCAAGGCAGAGAGGGATTCCTATTTGGTCCCAATACTAGGAGAACACAACCGTTTCTTTGAAATTGACCTTCATCTATTCGGAGGGGAAAGCAGTTAGTTCAATAATGGCTTCCTGGTGCCTTTCAGCATTTTGAAAGACGGAAGAAAGATCTGGAGCAAGGCAAGGTTCCAGTGTTTTCTAAACAACGCACTAAATCCAGCTACCAGTTGGCTGCCCAGCACTTCCTGCCACCCGCAGCGGCCCCCACCCCCACTCCAATCCATCCCTTCAATGCAGTGCACATCCCTGAGTAGCCCAGACACTGCTTGAGTGGCTCCTGACCAGGAATACTCCTGACCAGGTCTTCCCCAGTTGGGTGGGAGCTAGACTTCACTCTAATGCCCAGCGGCTGAAGATTCCTTGGACATCTTGCATATGGCCCCTTGAGTAGAAATGCTGCTATATTATATTCCAGTTATTTCCTGTCCCTCCATGGCCCAGTTCCAGGGGCTGAATAAAGAGGTCCTTGTTTGATGGAGTCCATCCCTGCTCTCAAGTAAGTGAGAGTTGGTCCCCAGCCTGACTTGGTCTGAGGCCATAGGGGAAGGGTGGGGAGGAGGTAGGCAGGGTATTACAGGTGGGGAGAGCTCCACAGGAGATGAGGGGCCCAGCCCCACAGGCAGCCCAGCCCTGCTCCCAAAAATAAAAACAAGGGAGGAAGGAAAACAAATGGGGCCCTTGCCCAGGACTCTGCAGAGGGCATGGCTATTTTCCCTCCTTCCCAGGAGGGATCCCAACCCTTCTCTCCCACAGAGAAGACAAACACAGCTATGGAAATCTTATGCTATCCAAGCACCTGGAAGTCTGTTGCTAATTGGATGTTCCTCCTACCTTCACTTCCCTGTTTGCCAATGACTATCTCCCCCTAGATCTGCTTTCTCTCCTTGTTGAGTGAAAAGCATTTCATGGAAAATTTCAAATCTGGAACCTTGTTCAGATTCCATCATGCTCCCATTGTTTGGGTGTTATTTGAACTCAGGGGAAGTAGAAACCTACACCACCATTTTACTGGGATGGTCTTCCTAAATTATTAAGAACATGCTAATTAAGCACCTTCTCTGTTTGAAGCTCTTGAGTACCTTTCAAAGTCCATCCCAAACCCAATGCCTAGAGTCCATATTTCTTACCTGCCCAGGCTTGGGCAGCCAAGGGAGAGGATGCAGACAGAGTAGCTTAGGGATAGCACCTTGGGAGATCTCTGGGAGTCAGTGGCAGTGGTGTTCAGGAAGGTTTCATGGGAAGGAGAGGAGAAACAAGCTCTGAGAGCAGACCATGGAAACCAAGGACCTGAGATGTTAGGGGGTTATGGTCTCAGAAAGTCATGAACAGAAAGGGAGGAAAAATGGAGATAGGGTGCTTGAGAAGAAACTGAGGGTGAGTTTGGAGAGCAGGACCCACAGAGAAGCCACATCCTCCTGCACCAGCAGGTGCCTGCAGAAGGGCTAAGCTCTGCAACATTTAACTTGTGTCCAGGAGGCTGGAACCGGAAGGGAGCTGAGAGATCCTCTGGCCAGTGATTCTCAAAGCCTGGTCTGTGGACCACCTCTTCAGAATCACCTGGTAGGTGGTTAAACATGAGGGTTCCTGAGACCCATCCGATTTACTGAATCAGATTGTCTGTGGATTATGTCTAAGAAGCTGAATGTTTATCAAGTGCCACAGATGATTGTGATCTTTGTTAATGTTTGAGAGCCCTTGATTTAGTCCAACCCTTCTGTTCCCTGGAAGTGAGATCTGAAGTCTAGAGAGGTAAAGCAACAAGCTTAGGGTAACAGAGCTGACTGATGGCAAAGCTCATGTGAGAACTCTATTGCGTTTGACCCCTGGGGCAGTGCTCTTTCCATTTCAGCATGCGGGCAGCTTCTTCACCTATTTGGACCTGTTTCCATCACCCTCTAAAGTGAAAGCTTGCACCTTTGATCCATTCCCTGCATCCTGCTGGGGTCTTCTCCTTCCTGAAGATGCTCTGGTCATAGCCTCTGCAGGCTGGGGGGCAGAGGCAGAAGGAAGAAAGGAAAAAGATTCAGTTTTGAGCCTCTAATAACAGTTGTGGGGTTGACAAGTGAGTTGAGCAGGAGAAACACACTTACGGCTGAGGGGCGATTGGGATTTAGTTTGTAGTACGAAGCTAACTTTCACTGAGATTTGCTATGCACCAGACACTGCATTAAGTCCTTTCCATGCATTAGTGCAAACCCCATGGAGCAAACAGTAATTAGCCCTATTTTGCAGATGGAGAAACTGAGGCTCACACACCAGCGGTCATTTGCCCAAGGTCCATGCTAACGCATGACCAAATCACTTCCACATAACCACCATGATCTTTATATAGCCCAAAGCAGTGTGAACTGTTACCCACTTTAACCCAACAGGCCTACAAAAGGACCCCAAGACCTTGGGAAAAAAAGAAAGCTTCTCTGCAGTGAGATGTGACCACTCTTGGGGGGCACATACAGCTTCAAATGCTTCCCATGTAACACACTAAAAATATTTCCAAAAGGCATTAATTTGAAACCTGCCTCAGAAATGACAACATGGAGTGTAGGTTAAATACCTTTTTTCTTTATCTGTTTAAAATGGAAACTCCAGATGTCAATTTGCTTTCCTTCCATTTGCCCTTTTCTGGTGAAGGAAGTGTGTCTACAGAATTTTAGTTATTTGAGGGGTTTGGTTATGTTGCATTCTAACGGAGCCCCGGGTGTGATCGCAGGCATATCTGGTCCATGGCAAGTAGCAGCCGTTACCTCTTCTGCTATCATGGCACATGACTTTGCAATGATCACCTCCCTCCATTCATTTTCTGGAGTGTCCCCCAGGGATGAAGAGGAAACTACAGCAGATCAGTGCCTGAGAGAAAGGACAATTGTTTCCCAAGCCATGTGGACAGCATGTCACGGTACCCTCCTCTAGGTTTACCTCCTAGCCAGACTGTATCTTCGTAGGAAAAATCAGAAAGCTTTTGAACAACTTAGACCACTAAACAAAAGAAGATGGACATATTTGTATAGGAGAGAATGAACTCAATTTCATTCCAGCAGGATTTGGTGCCTGGCAGCCTAAGGTGAGGGACCCCTGTAATTTAAATCTGGCTATTCCAGGAATCACCAGAGTTAGGAACATTTTCGGGTAAAAATTGAAAACATGTGACCCTCTGTCTTCCTTCTCTTTCAAATCTCAAGCTTTAGCTCACTCAAGGGCTGATTGGGGCGGTGCAGCTCTTAAAATGTTCTTATTAACTCATAACGAAGGGAGTGCATTGAGGTGAGAGCAAGTGGTGAACAGAGAGGGGGAGGACGCAGCCTCTGCAAAGCTCATGGGGAGCCCTGGAAATGCTGAATGAAAACTGCCTTTCTGCGTACGAGCTGCCTGCCTGCTTCCCAAATGCCGCGTCTGCGGTAACTACAAACTATTTTGTATGCTGCATTAGCGACGCTGCCTTAACCGGCACATCATTACTACTGAGATAACGCTGGTGCGATGTTCAAGTCCAGTGTCCTTTTTAATTATTAAACCGACTTCGTTGAATGAGTCATTCCACATACCAGATTTTCCTCCTGTGGTTCTATTTCAAGTGACTAGCCCCTTTCTTAGCGTGTTCCACTAACACCTGAGTTGGTTCTTAGCCAGCTACCCAGTCTGCAAAGCCTTTGCAGAACAAACAGTATTCTCCAATCGCCAAACACACACAGACCGCATAGAAAACAAAACCCGCAAAAAAACTTTACGGTAAGCTCACCAGTAAACCCGAGATCTGAAAATACCCAGTTCCCCTCCGCCAGTCCCCAACTTACCAAGTGGTAGAGCGATGAAGAAGGGTAGCCAGCACAAGATGAACATACCGACCACAATGCCCAAGGTCTTGGCTGCCTTCTTCTCCCTGGAGAACTTAAAAAGTTTGACAGCTATGGAACTCCTGGGGTTGTGGCCCTTAGCCTTGGTACTGCTGAGGGTGTCCTCATGAAAGTTCTTGGAGTGGATTCTCAGAGTCAGCTCCTTGGAGTTGGACATCTCTTTCATGACTCCGGCCTCCAGGTTCTTGGTGGTCCTCTTGGCAACGATGTAGACGCGACAGTACATGACCAGAATGACCGCCAGAGGGATGTAAAAGGAGCCCAGGGAAGAGAAGAGGGCGTAGAAGGGTTCTTCGGTGACCCCGCATTCCTTGTCATCGTTGGGCGCCGGCTCCTTCCACCCAAGGAGAGGCCCGATGGAGATGACCGTGGACAAGACCCAGACGCTGAGGAGCGCCAAGATGGCCTTCCTGCGGGTGACGAGCGTGGGGTACTGCAGGGAGTAGCGCACCCCAATGTAGCGATCGATGGAGATGGCGCACAGGCTCAGAATGGAGGCGGTGCAGCACAGGACATCCACGGCGGCCCAGATGTCACAGAAGATCCGTCCCAGTACCCAGTAGCCGAGCACCTCCAGGGCCGCGGAGAAAGGCAGAACGGTGAAGCTCAGCAGCAGGTCGGCAACGGCCAGGTTGACGATGAAGTAGTTGGTGGGCGTCCGCAGGTGACGGTTGCAGGCCACCGACAAGATGACGACGATGTTGCCCACGATGGCAAAGAGGATGAAGGCGCCCAGCACCAGGCCCACGGAGATGGCCCTGGTGATGTCCAGCTGGGGCAGTGTGGAGTTGCTCGAGGTCTGGTTGGGGCCAGTGAAGTTGGCATTTTTCAACTCTCCCCAGTGGGCAGGTGCTGATGTGTTGTGGCCGGTGTCCAGGTCGGGATTCATTTTAGAGTCGGCCCTCCATAGCCTGGGGTGAGCGGGCTGGAAGGGCTGCGGCCAAGCTCCTCAGCTGCCCTGCAACTTTGCTTCGCCCGCGGTCTTCTTCCCAGAGGCGCCCTCCCGGCGAGGAGTCATCTCCCCCGGGCAGCCCAGCCCCGCGGCGCGTCTCCTGCCTGCCTGCCTGCACCGAGCCGCCCGCTCGCCGGCTGTCAGAGGGAGGCGGCGAGAGAGGGGCCGAGGCGGCGGCTCCAAGTTTAATGGTCCACGTCAGGCGCGCGGGGCCGGGCGGGCGGGGAGCGGCGGGGGAGGGGCGGCGGGCAGGGGGCGCCCGGCTCGGCCCGGCCCGCGGCGGGTGTGCGGGCAGTGGCGGCCAGCCGGGTCAGCGCCGAGGAGGGTCTGCTCGCGACGAGCCGCCTCTGGACTCACTGCACGGCGGTGACATCAGGCGGGGGAGCCCGGCGCCCTGACTCCGCGCGGCACTAGGGGGCAATGCGGGTCCAGCGAAGGCGCCCGCAGCCCCGACGTCGCCACCTGGGCAGCCCCGGGGCCGGACGCGGGCCCCCACCCCCACCCCCACCTCACTCGTTGCCCCCCCCACCCCCCAACGCGGGCCTCGGGCTGGGGAGGGGGAAGAGCGACATGAGCGTGAGGACCCTCGTCCCCCACCCTGAGGTGGCCCGCTGGGATTGTTGCCCCTTCAGTCTCCCTTCAGTCTCAAAAGTGGCGTGGGGTGCTTGCCGCTAATGGGGGGCGTCTGGAGTCAGCGCCCAGATTTAGGGGGATGTGCAACTTGTGTGGCACCTAGAAGAAGGATTGCAAGGTTAGGCAGGTGAGAGGGGTTTGAGTAAGATATGAGACACTCCCCCCCACCCCGCCCCCCAGCTCCCTGTGAAACCTCTCTGGTCTTGTCATAAAGTCCAGGGGCTTTTCTTCATTCATTCGTTTATTCACTCCCTCACTCACTCACTCCTTCAACAAATTGTTAACGAGTCCCCACTGCCTGCGCTGGGGGCATAGCAATTGAACCAAGGAGACAAAGACCCCTGCCCTCCAGGAGCTTACACTCTACTGGGAGGAGACAGACAAGAAACAAATAAATAAACAAATTATGAGGTGTGTCTGATGCGGACAAGTGTAATAGAAAATAGAGCAAGGAAGGGAAGGTGGGATGGTGTGTGTTGTGGGAGGGGTATTGGAAATTTTAAAGGAGTTCTCACGATGTCACTGGAGTGATGTTTGAGTCAAGACCTGAAGAAATGAGGGACGAGCTACTGGGCTATCTGGAGGTGAGGGTGGTGGTGGTGGCAGAGGGAGAGATGGCCAGGCATCTGGGGAAGGGACTTGTGACATCTGGATTATTAATTTTTTTTCCGTTTCTGTCTGATGTTCCATTTGGACATTCAGTTATAGGGATGCACTCCCAAAGGAGAGAAGATAGTGGCTGAGGGAGAGCTTTATGCTGGTTGACATTTATTCAACACTTGTCATGTCACAAACAGCGTTCTAAGTACATTTCGCATTTTCTCATAATCCTAAGAAGGAAGGGCTATTCTCATCATCATTTCCATTTTGTGGATGGGACAAGGTACAGCGAAGGTTAACTCTTTGCCCAAGTTCACACAGCCATAATGGAGAGAAGCTAGGACTTGATCCAAATAAAGGTCTATCTAGAGTTGAGCACCCAGCAGCTGTGTCACACTTTTCGCCTGGAAGCACTGCAGGGGTGGATTTTTTTCCACCAGATTCATTGAGATATAACTGACATATAACCTTGTGTGAGTTTAAGGTATACCATGTGCTGATTTGATGTGTATCACAAAATGATTACCATTGTAGTGTTAGCAAACACCTTCATCATGTCACATAAATATAATTTCTTTCCTATGGTGAGAACATTTAAGATCTACTCTCTTAGCAACTTTCAAGTATATAATACAATATTATTAATTATAGTCACCATGCTGTACATTAGAGACCCAGAACTTACTCATCTTACAACTGAAAGTTTGTACCATTTGATCAACATCTTTCCATTCTACTGTCCCCAACCCCTGGCAACCACCCCTCAACCCTGTTTCTGTGAGTTTGGTTTTTTGATTACACATATAAGTATATTTCTTTCTCTCTATCTTACTTCACTTAGCATAATGCCCTCAAGTTTCATCTATGTTGTAGCTGTGGCAGGATTTCCTTCTTTCTCTTGGCTGAATAATATTCCATTGTGTATGTATACTGTAACTTTTTTAATCTATCCACCATTTGATGGACACTTAGGTTCTATCCATATCTTGGCTCTTGTGAATAATGTTGTAATGAACACGGAAGTACAGATATCTTTTTGAGATTATATTTTCATTGGCTCTGGCTATATAACCAGAAGTGGAATTACTGGATCATATAGTAGTTCTATTTTTAATTTTGGGGGAACCTCCATACTGTGTTCCAAAGTGACTCTAGCAATTTATATTTGAGGAAGGGAGTGGATTGATTATTATAGAGGGAGCTGTCTTCCAGGTAGTAAAATTTTGGGACCTGAGTGGCTATTGTTAAGAGAGAACTCACATTGATTGAGCTTCTACTGAGAACCAAGCATTTGCTCATTGTCTTTTATTTTTCACAACAATGCTTTGAGAGGGTCGTGACCATAGTCTATTGACAGAATAGAAACCCTGTGGTTCCAAGAGGGTTAGTACATTGCTGAGGTCACGGTGGCTAGTGGACTTGTGATAGAGCAATGTAGTGACAGCTGTAGATTGAAAGGTAAAGCTTGATGCCTTCTTTTCCTCTTGTCCAGAAGCCCACATCTAGGGCTTCCCACTGTCTGCCCTTGATAATCACTTTAACTTGATATTCAGAGGTGGGGAAACAGGAAGTCACAGGGTGATTTACATTTGAACTCCTCAACCTAGAGGTAGGTTCTTAACCTCTTTTTTATTAGAAAAACTTATAATACAAAATATGAATACATTTAATATATAATACAAAATATAAATACATGGTTATCACACACCTCTCTATGTTTTAATCTAAGACTTTAAACTTCTCCCACCAAATTGCAGAGATCCCCAAATGCACAAAATACACAATTTCAAGGGTTCCTTGATATTAAGAAATGTGTGGTCGAGGCAGCCCTGAAAACGGATTTTTTCCCCCTATTTCAATTAAATTTGCTCAAGTTGTATCTGAAGAATCTAAAATAACAGTCACAGGTTTATAGTGATTTAGCTCTTCAAGAGCTATCAGAACTTTCACTTGCCCATTTTTGCATTTTGGAGGTGGTCTAGGAGGCAGAGGGAAGTGGTAAACTCCTATAGATAGTCATGTGTAGAATTGGTTATCAAACTCTTTTTCCCCAGACCACAGAGCAGTGCTCCTTCCTCTACCCAGAGGGAAGCCACACATGATAGCCACTCATGACTTGGTTCAGGTATCTGAACGTGGAAGAGATTATTGAGCCAGATCAAAAGGTCCAAAATCCATGTAGATTTCAGACATATTGTCATTTACTGGTGTCTTTCACAAAGGCAGAACAAACATCCCACTGTAAGGGAAATAGGTATTAGCCTTAATAGCAGCCATGTACCAGGACCCCACTAAGCAACCTTTGCTAATGGTCCTTTCCTTGCTGCTTCTCTCCTCCCTTCACTGGAGATGACTCTTAACCCCTCTGGCTGATATTTGACCCATGGAATTGACCATTTGTTTAGGTGTCATGAGGATACAGACGATATTTCATTTTCTCGGTACTCCCTGGGGCAAAGCCAAGCATAGAGCTCTGACTCACTCGAGGCTTGGGGAAGAAGAACCTTTTCATTATCCATCTGATTACATTAGAAATCTCTGATGTTGCAAGCTCCCATTTCTTTGAGCCCTCTAGGAGAAGCTGTCACTGAATTTGACCTGTGGGGAGACCAAGGCAATGGGAAGTTCTGAGATCAGCTTAGAGGCTCGATGGGAGGAGGTCTCTCACCTGTGACCATGCAGTTTTGCATGGTATTCCCTCTTTAGCTCTCTCGATCAGCCACAGACATCTAGATGTAAGATGTGAGATCTAGATGTAAGGCATCATGCTAGGTGCTGTGGGTAAATCGGAGATGAATTAAATCAAGCAAGTGATGACCTAGCACTGAGTCAGGTGCTGTGGGAGAGGATGACAATGGTAAAGCACCCTTCAGAGATTACCTACTATGTACCAGGCACTGTGCTATGTATCCCACGTGCATTTACTCAAATGTTTACAACACCGCGAGGTAAGAATTGTCCCCATGTTACAAATGAGGAAACTGAAGTCCAGAGAGTTCACTGAGTAGCTGAGTAAGCAGCATTGGTATTCGAAGCATTGTTGTCTGGCTCCAAAGTTTGCATCCTTCTCTCTGCACCAGACTGAGATTAAAAAAAAAAAAAAGGTGGCAGAAGGTTCAGTGTTAGCCCTGAAGGAAACTACAGCAGAAAACAGAATGTGGTCAGGGTCCTGAGCAAAGCAGAGGTCAGGGAGGGGACAGTAAGGCAGAGCTGTCCAGGAGAGAGGGCTCTGCAGAGGGACTCCTTGGGTCAGGCTCCCTTGCCTTCCTGGCCAGCACTTGGTCTGCCAAGGATTTGAGAGCTGACTTGGGTTCTAATCCTGCTTCCCTCATTTTTTTTTTTTTAAAGATTTTATTTATTTGACAGAGAGAGAGAGAGTGCAAGAGAGCACAAGCAAGGGGAGCAACAGAGAGAGAAGGAGAAACAGTGTCCCCGCTGAGCAGGGAGCCCAAAGACATGGGGCTTGATCCCAGGACCCCAGGATCATGACCTGAGCCAAAGGCAGATGCTTAACCGACAGAGCCACCCAGGTGCCCCTGCTTCCCTCATTTAATAGTTGTTAATGTGACCTTGGGCAAGATGATAAAGTGAACTCCAGCATCAAACAGACCTGGGTTTAGTCCCAGTTCCACTAATTTATTAGCTGGGCAAGTCAGTTAATCACTCTCAGCCCCAGTTTCTTTGTCTGTGAAATGAAGATTATGATAGTCTCTAACTCAGATTGGGCTGAGGTCAGGATTCAATGTGATAATGTGTAAAGTGCCTAGGACAGGGTAATAGTAATAGTAACAGCCAAGAGTTATTAAGGGCATACTAGGTGCTAGGCGTTGCGTCCCAAATGACTTATACGCATTATCTGATTTAATCCTCATAATACTATTGTGAGGTGGATGCTATTATGACTGACATTTTATAGATGAGGAAACTGAATCTC